GGGGCAAGCGGGGCTCGGGGCCTCTCGGGTAGCGGCCGGTCAGAACGGACCGTCCCCGCCGCGGTGTGTGCCCTCTTGCCCCCCGCCATCCTGGTTCACCTTCGGTTTGCTTCTCTCCCTAGGGATCTGGGGAAGTTTAGCTGTCGCCAGGCCGCCGCCAACGGGAAGCTGGGCACCCGCGGGATGCGATTAGCAAGCCGGGTTCGTGATGGTTAGAGCTGAAGGTCAGCCTCGAGGTATCGCTCGGATTTCGTTGTGCTGGCTGCAGGCTCCTGCCATCCCGTCTGCTTACGTGGTGCTGCAGAGCCAGAAAGCACACACGTTGTCCAAGAAATCCAGCGACAGGAAAGCAGAAGGGAAGAAAAGCCATACTCGGAGGTATGGAAGGAAGAAGCATTAAAAGGGAGGCTAGACTTGGTAAAAAAAACCCCAAAACAAAACCAACAAACAAACAAACAAACCAGCAAAACAGCCCAATCACAGAAGGCTGTTACTAGTTATAACATACGAATATAGAGGTCTGAGAAATCAACACTGATGCAGAAAACATGCAGGCCGAATTCAGCTGTCCTTCAACCCTCCCCACCCAAATTAATACTTTTGTTAAAGCTTCTGGCTGACAAGACACTCCCAATGGATATATGGAGAAGAAAGATCAAGAAAAGGACTAATTTACTGCAGAAGTTTAGCGTGGTGAGAATGGCTTTTGCTGCCAGCAGCTAACCAGTACATGGTAAGTGGTTAAGATGCAACTGCTCAGTATGACTTTGCCTTGCCAGAACGGAGTGTGCACCACATACACTGTATAAACTGTTTTTAATAAATTCATTTATTCCTACTCTGTGGACCAGTAAGTGACTCATGGAGAAAACTGGTGTACGACCAGGTTTTTCAATTGTGAAACACCTTAATTAGCTGTGAAGGTGCTCAGAGGTTTTGTATTAATTTATTAAATCAGAAGACAAGAGATGCTTGGTATCTGGAGTACTTAAAATACAGAAAAAGCTACAAATTATTTTCACAGTTGGAGATTTTTTTTTTAAATATAAAAGTTTAAACAGAACAAGCATTTGTACATCAGTGTCAAGATGGTTTTTTATCTTGGGAATCTCCTAATTCCATGGCCACACCAATATTTTGCAACTCTAAAGTAAGAACATTATTTCAACAATAACAAGGTGAAAGTATATCCCTGATTGCACATCACATGGTCATGGACTAAACATACTGCACCAGTGACACTTGTTGGGTTGGGATAAAAATTAGAATCCTTTTTGCAGTGTAGTCTTGCATCTACTTCCCACCTCAGCCTTAAAAGAAATGGGGTCATCTCACTCCACAGAACATAACAAATGACCTAACTGGGGCAAGGTATCTTTTCCTCAAGCTGTCATGAGCCTTGAACATCTGGCTACAAGCCCTCTCATGCAAGCACAGAGCTTTCAACTTGGTTTTGTGTTTGTCCTGAGGACACAGTGTAAACTGCTATACTGAAATGGAAAACACGGCAGCCTGTTGCCTCACTGCAACACTTTGCACATCTTCCTTTTGAGTTCTCTCTTCTGCCACATGATGTTTCTTATGTCTCTTTAGACAAAGTGTGATGATCTAAAACACTTGAGACTGTCAGTGCTCAGCCTACACCTTGCCAATGGGTTGCTGGTCTGTTTGCCAGGTTGCTTTCCAGATGTCCATATTTTGAAACATTAGGCTTCAAAAATTATCACATAATTTAGGAAGGAAGCTCCTGACAGTCTGAAATGGGAGGTGGTTCTGGCATCTTCTCACAGAAACTACCCCTGCATCCTGCCCCCCAAACCTTGCCACGCAAACCCAATACATATTTCAGGAGGATTTAGTAGTGAGCTTATTACTGCATCTGCAGCAAGAGATACAAACAGAAAATGACCTTCCTAATTGGCATTTTTTTCCTGAATTCACTTGTCATCAAACATGTTTGAGGATATAACACAGAAACAACATTTAAAATTAAATATAAATAAAAAAGTTAATAAGGCACAGAGTAGAAAACCCAAAAAAGGTTATAACTACCAGGACACTTCTTTGCTAGGTCTCAAACCTGATAAATGATGCTGCTTCTCAGGATAGGATCTTAAAATTATCTGGCAGGAAGGCTGAAATACAATTTGTGATTCTTCCTGCTTCTGTCCCCAACCTGGGGGAGGAGAACTTGAAGGCATTGAGTGCCATTAGACCTCTAGCTTGATGGGACAGAAATTGCCCCTTCTTTTGATTTTATTGTTAACTTTTCATGCATTCTGCACAGATGAATGTATTCAATACAAGGGATGTAAACAGGCTAATCCATCAGCATACTACTTTTAAATAAACAGACACTCCTTCTAACTTACAATCTTATAAACAACCAGGAGTCTGAAGACCTTTACAACATGTCATAGCTAATATAAGAATCCTTTGTTGTACATACATCTCAGTGACAGTATAACCTGCTTTTAATATTTCAGAGACACCATATATGACCATTAGAGACAAGTTGTGTTAAACTCCAATTTCCCCCCATTTTTTGAGTATGCCAGGCTACAGCACAGCATGGAACATGGAATTCTGATATGTATCCTCTCCCTTTCTTCACTGCCTGCAAGTTCCAATGATTCTTTTCATTAAACTTGAAAGCCATTTCTGTGTATTTAAAATTGACGTAGAGTAAACCAGAAGAAATTGTTTCAGTGACATTTTGCCTGACAACAGATTTCTTCTTTAGCTCAGTAAGGCTATGAGATACCACCTCTTCATACCAATTTCCTGCTGGCTTAGGGTCTCAGACCTCAGGACAGAAAACTGTGCCATTTCACTAATCTTTCTGTTTTCCTGAAGCAAAATTACATCACTCAGAGCATGTGAATTGTTTTTAAAAAAGAAAGCAGTGATGATAACCTTTTTATTTGTAACAATGGAAAAGGTAACTATAAATTCAAGAAATAGCTACAGGAAAACAGTAATTGTTAATGGCAAGATGTCCACATGAAAGCTTCTGAGTAATTATCAAGAGGGAAACAATCCAGAAGGAATTGAAAAAAATGAGATTTGTGGTAGGAGAGGAAAGAAAAGTAGCTGAAATGGAAAAATGCAAGTAAACAGAAAATACAAAAAGAAAAACTAAGAAACCAGAAAAGGACTCCAAAATGGCACTGCACAGAAAGTTAAATGAGAAAGATGGCCAAAAACCAAATCAATAAAGTTTGCAAAACTCATAATTTCATAGAGCAGAAAGTTATTGTTTCTCTTTGTCAGGGCTCTGGTTACTACTTCAGAAAATTATTTCAGTTTGGATAGCTGTTCCTAGGAGTCCTTTTATATTAGGTTTGGCTCAGCTGATCAGAACATATGGCATCAACTTTGTAAAATAATGACAACTATTAAGACATACCTTAAATACCCAAGCATATGCATGTTTCACAAATGAAGGTACAGGATCAAACAGTGAAAGGTTTTAATGGATTTTAAAGGACATGTATTTGTCTCTGGTACTTCCATATACCTTGTATCTGTTTGTTGTTTTTTTTTTCTTTTAAGGTTGAGCCAGCATTAAAACAAGTGCATGAATCAAAAACTTCCCACAGTTAGAATACACAAAATAATGCAAATACATTTTTATCTATTTGGAAAGTTCAAGCAACACAGAGAACTGAACTTGCAGTTTAAATGAATCTTCAGACATTGTATTTTACACTATACAGTATCTTACAACCCAATACAATCTTTAGTTAAAATAGTTTAAATGGATTTAACAGCAAAACTTGAAATTTGCTAGTTATAAACTGACAAATTTATCTTCATACGATTTGCAATACACATCTCAATTTTTACAGCTTTTTAATTCCATTCTTGCCGAATCTCGTAAGAGAAAGAATTTAAGAGTCTGCTCCAACTCTGTGCATTTTTTTCACATTGAATAATTAAAATCGATGAGTTCTTCGAATGAGTTTCATTGAAATAGCGTTTCCACCAGAAAACAGAAATCTGGAATTACTTTCAGTGTTTGTTAAAACATATTGCAGTGAGCAACCAGCTAAGATGTGCACAGGCAGCTAAATTAACCCCATATAAACCCCAGTATTTACATCTGTTAACAAAAATAACTTGTTTTTTAGAATGTATAGATAGCTTACTAGAAAATAACTTTTTGAAAAGCACAAGCAAATGAAAATTATTTTAGAATAACATTTTCTATTCCTTTTAGCAGAGTTTTTTTTATAAATCTGATTTATTTGGTTTTTCATACTCATTCTATTGTATTAACTCAGTATCTATCAGGTTATTAAAAAAATGTCGATAAAGTAGAATTTGAAAAACATTTGTTAACTGACTGTAACATTGCTTTAAAATTATGCTACCATTTAAAAAAAAAAAAGGGAGGAGAATTAGTTTTTATTTTACATATTGTCTCAGCTCAGAATTATATTTTTCATGCAGCAACTGTGCAGATTAAAGATATTCTTGAGCAATCTTGTGTAACTTATAAATTGTTTCGCCATGTGAAGTTCGGTGTTGCATCACGTACTGTTAAGAAAAAAAGACCAAACTTGTAACAAACTAACACTTAGATGCTCCATATAAACATTAGACTCTCAAACTTAACCTGTATTTGCATATGTATGTCTGTACCTGGCATTTTTAATCAAAACTATTAGAATACTTTCAGGCCAGTGCTGAGTTTTAACGGAAGATGATAAACATTAATAGTTTCACAATGTAACCTAACAATAAAAAGGAAAATTAATAAAAAGGGTTTAATAATAATTAATCAAAATTCAGAATATTAACATTTCTAGTTATTAAGAAATTTGAGGTAGCAAGGCACTTCTTGCATTTTATGAAATTTATAAACTTTAGAGAAAAAAAGTGATCTATGCAGCTAAATTAAGAACAGTAAAATTATTTTTTGTCTCGTCATCAACTGACTTTTAGGAATTTGAAACAATGACTAGAGGTATTTAGATCCAACATGGGAGAAGGCTTACATGCACATATTGTACCATTTTCATGTATACAAAACATTACTTTTCTGTTTAAAGTGAAAAAAGCAAATCTGTAAAGGTAGTATCATTCCTAATTGAAGTTACAGAAGTTATGTACCAACATAAACTGCAATCCCTCGAATGAAGCTGTGAATTAGTAACTGCAGCAGGCAACATATGGCCATGATTTGCATGGAGGAGCTCTCCTGTAACATTGTAATATGCCTGTCACATTCATTACCCTTCTGACAACGTGTTTCTCTGGCAAAATATTTTGTGAAAATTAAGCAGTGTTATGACTGCAACTCAGGTCTTCAGTAATGAGAACAAAACTTGAAATACTGCAACTCAGACTATGTGGAAAAGACATCATATCAAAACCGAACAAACAAGTAACATGAGTAGGGCAAGTATTTGTATGCTACATAGTCAGAAAAACCAGAATCGATTTTCCTTAACAGATGTCCTCAATTTGAACTGAAAAATTGACAAAGGTCACATGATGTTAAGTGTTTATCATAGATCTCCATCTAAGCTTATATTAAAAAAATTAATAACTGTTTACACACTCCAGAGATCAGCACAGAAAAACCTCAAGTGTTCTGATGAAATTGCTTTCCTCCTGTATGAGCACAAAGTGAAGATTAAAAAAAAACAAACCAGAAAACTTCAAAGGGCACTTCTTGTGCTACATGGAAAGCACAGGACCTCCAGCTGCATGCAGTAGAAGAGTCACAACAATTCTTCTGATTAGTATCTCTAGTTATTTAAACTTTCTAATTATTTCAAGCAGCCGCTACTTTGTGAACAGATATCTGACTGAAGTGCCCTATCTGCTTTCTCCCTATCTGTATTCAAAGGTGATTTCTGAGGAAAACTGAAATATTTTTGTCCAGTAAGCATGAAAAGGGTGTTCTGGGAGAACAGGAAAAAACACCCAAAACAACACAAACAAAACCACCCTCAAAAAAACCCAACCCTGGCTTAAGAGATTAAATCACTAGCTCACTCAAAGTAACTCCTTGACACAGTCCTTTGTAGGGAAGACTGCAAGAGTACTTTTAAAGTTAATTTATCCACTACTTCCTCTAAACAGAAAAGTGCTGTTGCTTGAGCTACTTTGGCAGTGAAAGGAAGGGATAAATGATAGAATCATAGACTTGTAGAATGGTTTGGGTTGGAAGGGACCTAGAAGATCATCTAGTTCCAACCCCCTTGCATAGGCAGGGACACCTCCCATTAGACCAGGTTGCTCAAGGCCCTGTTCAACCTGGCCTTGAACATTTCCAGCGACAGGAAACTTTCCTGGGCAACCTGTTCCAGGGTCTCACCACCCCCCAGAGGGATCTTGTGGAGCCAAACTGGAGACATATAATGTACGTTAATAACCAAGAAGTGATATCACATTTAAAAGCTGGTGTATTATGTATCATGCTGGTAAGCTTCCCTGACATTCTGCACAAAATATGCTTAAAGATTTCATTTTCTGAACTTTAGTAATGACTGTATTCATGTGACTCTAATTTATGTTCTTTGAACAAAAAGCAGGTCATTATTATCACAAAAATTGAGGCTTAATTGTTCAGACAATTAGTACCTATAGCTGATTTAACACTAAAACAAAAAGAAGGTCCAAGTTGGAAAAAGAGACTGATTTAATGTTCTTATTTAGGTTGGTAAACACTGAAAATTTGAAACAGTTGTAAAAATTCTACTTATAAGTAGACAAGCGTGCAATTATGTAATGTATGGAAAGAAAATGTTCTCCTTAGCCTCTGGCTGAATGATGTTTCCACATGCACATGCCATTACAAAAATAGAATACTTCACCTTGTTCACTAGAAGTAAAGGCACAGTGTAAAAACAGTAAATTAAATATAGTTGCCCTACTTAAGTACTGTACTAATTAGAAATTTTAAACATTTACACTGCATGAGTAAGTGCTGGGTCCTGCACTTGGGTCACAACAACCCCAGTCAATGCTACGGGCTTGGGGAAGAGTGGTTGGAAAGCTGCCCAGAGGAAAAGGACCCGGGGGTGTTGATCAACAACTGGCTGAATGTGAGCCATCTCTAAAACACATATATTTAAAAATATGCATATAGAAAAGGCAGAAATGTAAAATGGAATCCCATAAAATGCTGCATACATGCATATTTCTACATGAATTTCAGAAAATACACAAAGATGTAGATGCTAGCATTAGAAATGTATTCCATGTCATGTTTTAAATCAAAATTTAAAAGTATATATATGCATTGCAGCAATCTGTGTTCTAAGCATTTTGCAAACACTTTATAATGTAATTTCTAGAAGGCTGGAAATACTGTATAACCATTGGATTTTTCATGTATTTCTACTTCAAATTGTCTGACGGACAGCTACTGCAACTAACTTCTGTTGCCCTCTCCCCTTTCTTCCACAGGAAATAATGCACTAAAATATAATGAGAACCAGTACATAGAAAACCAAAATGAAAATTACCTCCCTCTCACCCCCCCATCCACAACTTACACACTTTTCCTTCTTTTTCCAACTTCTTCAAGTGGACTAAGAGGTTACTTTCTGCTGCTGGAAGTAAATTTTCAGGGATCTCCTAATGGGAACACAAAGATGCATTTTGTCTTTGTTTAAACATGTCCCAATTATGTTTCCAACATAGAAAATTAATGGTTTATTATCGTAGATTTTCCTCTTCTGAATTGCTATGTTGAACGTTCAGCTAGTTATACAGTGACAATGAACTGAAATGAGTAAATCAATTTTATACCAGTTAAACTAGTAGCCTAATAACACTTCGTCTTTGCTCATTTTTTGCATTACCCACCTGTATTATGCAACCTTTGGCCAACTAAGAAGACTGTGCTCTTCTGAGCTTGGTCTGCATTGGTTTGTCAGTGTAGCTGAGCCTTTTCAAAGAGAAATTTAAAATTGCATTTTTCTACAAATATCTATCTCTTCTATTCCATGCCAGTATTTACAAGGGTTTAAATATTCTTTAACAATTAGAATCTGTAAACGAGTAAAAAATTTAAAAATACAACAGCTTCAGGAGGACAAAACATCTCTTAAAATTATCAAGTGCTCATTAGATAAAAACCAGTAAATGTCTTAAACCCCCCCTCTCTAGCTCTGTCATCCTAAAATTAAAGCCTTCTTGTTGAAAATTAAAAGTTCTTCTTCAAATAGCATAAGTCTGGCAGGAAGATTCACTAGAAAATTAGCTCAATAAATGATGAATCTTTAACAAGCTTTGAAAGATTACACTTTTTTAAAACCATAGGAAAGCTACGGAAAAAAATACTGAAAAATTCTTAGCATATAGTGACAGGACAAGTGGTTTGAGATTTACAGAAACTCATGAATGGTTGTATACTTAAAAACTACAGTAGTTCAGGCAGGAAAACTGCAGGAGCTAAACTGCCACGGGTAACAGCCATTGGCAACTTTGACACCTTCCTCCAAAGCAAATGCTGCATCTCTTTTAACTCTACTTCCTAGGATGGGTAACCCTCATACCAGATGTACCAATTACTGAGGTTACACGTGGAATGCTCAAGTAGCAAAAAAAACCCCTTACACCTGTCTGGCACATGCAAAGTTACCAACCTTCTGAGTGCAACATCCATCTCTGTGAAACTGCAGTTTACCTATGCTCTTCTGCAGACTGATAATTCAGGAACTAGAAGTTTTAACCAATCTTTCAGGAGACTCCAAACACACTTTCATAAATAAAAAATTGTTATCACCTGCTTTTCACTTAGAACCAAACACCACTCTATTTTTTGCTTGGTCCTATGAAAATGTGCTTAGGATCATCTAGACAGTGAAATAACAAGTTCATAAGAATCATCTGGGCCCCACTGCAAGGAAGTGCTCAAACAATACAATTTAAATGCACAGTCATACATGAATTTTGAACAAGCAGAAATATTTTCTCTTTTTCCCCTTCCTCTTTTAAAAAGGCATCATGATCTTGATGCAAGCACTTAAGACTTTACATAGAATTTTATGAACATAGACTCAATTTTCCTTAGTTTAATCAAAGAACTTTTAATCAACAATTACCTGGTATACTATCTTCACAAGCTCTGAGGATGTATATGATTTTCCAGGATTCTTCTGGAAAACATTTAGAATTTGCTTTTCACGTGCAACTCGGTGAGAAATGTAGTTTTGGATTCTAGTATTTGCATCACGTACTACTGGTCCATGACCTAAATCAAAACACATGTACCACAGCACTATTACTTAAATTTGAAATTAAGTAGGCTATGGAGTAACTGAATAATTCTTATGTAAACTCTGGTATATTTGAAAGTCATAAGAAGGGAGCAGTATCTCTACATACCCCCCTGACAGTGTATTCTTGATGTTAAATTGTAGAACACTCTTGGCTTTTTTAATTCATTTTTTTTTCACAGGCCAAAATTAGGTTTGAATGTCTGCATCACATCATCTGCATGCAAATGAAGAGCAGTAAGATGGAAAGGATCTGAAAAGTCTGAAGGGGAGACCAAATACTTCAGGTTGAATAAGGAAAGGAAGGAAAGACTACTTTAGGATGTTTTAAAAGAAATAGGAAAGGAGTTCACTGCAGAACAGATTTGAAAGATGAGATTCAGATTATTATTTCTGCCTGTCTCACTCTCCTCAAAGCATATTAATACTGATAACTTAAACTTATGCTGGTCTTTGAACAGTAGTGGCTGAGGGAAAGGATTCATGTTCTACTGTTGTGTTGTGGGGCTATTAAGCAAGCAAAGGTGAGAAAAGTAATATCTTTAATTGTGATAATTTACCAGGACAGATCTTCAAAACTGACTCACACACTGTACTTCATTCACTTAAGAATACCCCTTCCTAAGTATATTAAAAATAAATTAATAGATGACAAACCGGAGACCCAGTCTGAAGGTGTCAGGGCAGGAATAAGCAATGCACAAGCAAAGGTTACATGTAGATCACTTCATGTCTGGCTGATTAATAAACACGTTTTTTCCTGGACTTAATTGTGGCAGATTAGAAATGTTTAATTTACTGAAAGGTCTTTGAATCAAATTAGAAAAAAGGCTCTATTTTGCTTGTACTTTTGTGTGTAGCTGATAAAATGCATTTTTAGTTTTAACACTTTTAAAATTAGAGCTTATTTTGCCTGAGGACAGGCAGATTACAGAAAAAGAACAACTAATATTTCATGTTTTGAACATCTGTGAAATAAAAGAAGTGTCCAAGGAATCTATCGTTCAAAGTCACAATTTTTATGCATATCTCAACTTATACACTTACTTCAGCATATTTGAAATTACTAAATATACATTGAAGCTTACCTTGTGTAAGACAGTATTACAAATAAAAGTAACATGTAAATAGAAAACTATACTGTCATATGTACATATATGTAATGATTTCAAACATATTAATCAAAAACTATTGTTCCTTACAAAAAAAAGTTACAAATATAACAGTAACTCTAGTAAATATGTTACCATTTATAAAACCAAAAGTTGAAATTTAGAAAAAACATTTTGATATGCAGAGCAAAGACTGTAATGGAAACTGTCGACTCTCTTGCATTCTCTAATGACGGAAGTGACACTGAAATATTAAAAATTAAGGCCTGCACATGGAATCATACTTAAAACCACTCCATATTCTTTCAAATGATTTAATTGACTTAGACTACCAGAGCAATGTCAGTACCTTGAATAGAAACGATATTTTGCAAAGTTAAAGGCATTTCACATCCATTACATCATTTGATCCACAGCTACTGTGTATGCATACATCACAAAGCTTGGAACCTAATCCAGATGTGGATCTTACCCATCTGTAATTTTTCATGGACAGCAACATACTTAACTTCCCCAATAAATAAATTAATATCTGAACAAATGTGTGAGTATGTGAAATAGATCTCTCAAAATAAGACCATCTTTCCAATATTTCAAATGTTATATCAGACAGCTTCATGCTATTTCAGACCTCTGTATAGCCCAGATGATCAGAAACAGGAAGTTTTTATTCTTCTAACAACAGCCTGTGAAGTAATATAGATTATCTTACTTTACAGTAAGTTAAAGCACAAAGGATAAAATTGAAAAAAACAACCAACTGGATCATGAAATCTTGCATAGATTTCTAACCCCAGTAACTATTATTTCTATATTATCAAGGAACATCGTTTATTACTATAGGATAGGGAGCCCTCTGCTGACTAAAATATCCTATTCCGGTCCCAAAGATTCTTATCAACTGCGGGCTGTAAATAGACTCAAAAGCATTCTGCCTGAAGTCATTTCCACATTCAGTTAAAAAAGGCACACGGAAGGGGAAGGATTGGCAAAATTCAGCCGCCCACACCTAGCCAGCAGTCAGCTTGTTAAGAAAAATCATGCTTTTTACATCTAATTCTGAGGGTGCAGTGTGAGTGCGAAAGCATGGGTAGGAATCAGGGAAACAGTTTAAGAATTATGAAGACCTAAAACTGGAATCAAGCCAATGTACTGAGCTTACATAAAATGTATTGGTAAAGCAAACTACCCTCTGCAATAGGAACCATATTACTGCAGTACATTGCAATAGTATACACAATTGTTCTCACTGGGCAACAATTATCTTTTACACAACTGCAAGTACTGCATGAACATACAACAGCACAGCAGACAGTTGTTGCAAATAAATGGGACAAATGTGTAGCCTTAGTAAATGCATAATCTAGATAAATAATGATTAAGGAGAGAGTGAAATACCATGACCATTTGACTTAGGTTCAACAACAAGGCTCTCGATCCCCTCCCCCTCTCACACAGGTAGGGAAGGAGAGAGAGAAAATTAAGGATTCTCCCTCAGAATCAGATTACCTTGAGGTACACACTGTACTTCACCATCCATCATCACACACGAGGTATGTCCAAGTCCCTAAGCATAAGCAACATCCTGGACAGGTTTAGCTTTGCCTGAAGCACGACAGGCTCAAACACTTTTACCCAACAGGTTTCTCTCACATACCACAGGGACTTTATCCCCATCTGCAGCATGTAGAAGGTCTGACTGAGCAGGACCAGCCTGACTGATGGATCCCCTGCTATTAACTAACCATGTGGCCTTTGCCAAATTTGTATCCCAGTTTTTGAAAGTTCCACCACCCATTGCCTTTAGGTAGCTTTCAACAGACCGTTGTACCTTTCACTTTCCCCTGAGGCTTGTGCATAGTATGAGATATGATATATTCACTCAATACCATGCTCTTTAGACCAGTCAGTCACAAGACTATTTTTGAAATGTGTCCCATTGTCTGACTCAATTCTTTCTGGAATACTATGGCTCCACAAGATTTGCTTCTCAAGGCCCAGGATAGTATTCCTGGCTCTGGCATGAGGCCCAGGATATGTTTCCAACCATCCTGTACTTGTTTCCACCATTATAAGCACATAGTGCTTACCCTGGTGGCTCTGAGGCAGCATGATATAGTAAATTTGACAGGCCTCCCATACCTGTACTTTGACCACCTCTCCTCATGCCACAAAGGTTTCAACTTTTTTGCCTGCTTAATTGCAGCACACGTCTCACAGTCGTGGATCACCTGTGCAATAGTGTCCATGGTTAAGTCCACCCCTTGGTCACAAGCCCATTTGTATGTTACATCTCTGCCCTGTGACCTGAAGTGTCATGGGCCCATTGAGCCAGAAAGAGCTCACTCTTATGTTCCCAGTCTAAGTCTATTTGGAACACCTGAGCAGCCTCATCTGCTCATTGCTTGTGTCAGTGCTCCTCAGTGGCTCAATTCAGAGGCACGTGTGCATCTACATGACACGCTTTTACCACCAGTTTCTCTACCTGAGCTGCAATGTCCTTCCACAGGTCAGCAACCCAGATAGGTTTACCTTTTTGCTGCCAGTTGTTCTGCTGCCATTGCTTTAGCCTACCCCACAAGGCATTTGCTGCCATCCACGAGTCAGCGTAGAGGTAGAGTCCAGTGACCAGTTGTCTCTAGGGAGATTCTGGAGTTTACCTCCCAATCTGTTTGGCATCTTATTCTTTCTGTCAGTCATTTGTTCAGTGGCTGAGGTGTGGAACTGATGGGAATCAGAGATAATGTCTCCATACTGTTGTGCTTTGAAAGCCACCTCACACATAGTTGGTCTTGCATCATCCTCAGAGCACCCCATGAAGGAGAATATATGGGCATGTACTGCTGGTACAGCCTGTGCAAACCTCCAGAACATTTGTGTGTTGCACAGAACATCATCAGGATTTTTAAGTCCATTTTTATCATAGATAACCTCTCGCACAGCTATTTTTCTCAAGTAGGTGATGGCTTTCTCAAGAGTGGGTGTTCTTCTTCAGCGCCATTCGATGTCACCCTTGGGGGGCTATCTCTGTCTCACAGCTGAAAGAAGTTGGTCCCACAGGGTGGTAGTTCCCATCTTACTACCAAGTGCTCTGTCAATACCAGCATCTCTGGCCAGGGATCCCAACTGCTTGGCTTCTCTCTCATCCACATTATAGGTTTCAGCACCACTATCAAAGCATCGGAGCAATCAAGGAAGAATTCCCTCACCAGCAGGGCAGGTGAAGTCCTTTCTCATGAGGTATTAATGAGATCCCTCCCTCAGTCTTTGTTTCTCCAGGCTAAACAGATGCAGCTCTCTCAGCCTTTCCTCATATAGTAGATGCTCCAGTCCCTTAATCATCTTAGTTGCCCTGTGCTAGATTCTCTCCAGTATTTCCTTGTCCTTCTTGAACTGGGGAGCCCAGAACTGCACAAAATACTCCAGGTGAGGCCTCACCAGGGCAGAGTAGAGGGAGAGGATAACCTCCCTTGACTTGCTGACCACACTCTACCTAATGCACCCCAGGATGGCACTGGCCTTCTTGGCTGCCAGGGAACATTGTTGGCTTATGGTCAGCCTGCTATGCACCATGCCTCCCAGGTCTTTTTCCCTGGAGCTGCTTTCCAGCAGGTCACCTCCTAACTTGCATTGATATGTGGTATATTTTAAGAATGAACATAAACCAGATTGGTTATATAGGCTAAACATAGGTGGTTAATGGAAGAAGAAAGACTGAGAATGTAGACACAGTTGCTAAGAATGAAAAGTTGAAGAACATGGAACAGAAAGAGTCAGAAAAACTCCTAAGATGTATCTGTGAAAGAGCAAAGGAGGAGCTTAAATGTTAGTTACATAATGAATTCTTAACATTCAGTTTTGTCAAACTGAGGTGATTTATGAGAAGTATATCCACTCCTACCTCCAAGGTTTGGGGGAAATAGAGGGAAAAAGTGCAAAGTGGTAGTCTGAATGAATTGGCAACTTCTTTTACAACATGATGTTTGCATTCTTGGCTCTTGTTCAAATTTAAGTCATTAAGTAGGGCAACCATCTCACAGTTTTGCAGCTTTCCAAGATGAATTTGTGATTAATGAGTGCTGCAGAGGACAGACATCTCTCTGGAAAAACATTAATAGGTTACTCAAATTGGCAGTGTATGTGGAAATGCAAAGGACCAAAAGAACAACTATTATTTTTTCTTCCAGGGTAACATTAAAACACATGGATAGAGCATTATAAGAAAACCAGATCTGCTGAAACATTCTGGCCTCTGTAGGCTGTGGGCACAGCAGCACAAGATTTAACCTCAAATGGGAGAAATATCCGGAAGCAAAGATATCTATCACTGAGAAATCTTCAAGTCTTGAAAACATCACCTTAGCTTAGCAATGGACATATATTAAGTAATGCACTTCAATTGTTACATTAGTAATGTGTTTGATTGTAGTAAGTGTTCTTAAATTCTTGGAGATGTTTTAAAATTACATAGTAAAACAGACCAGTTAAAAATAGAACCACTTACCAGGATATATTAAATCTGGTTTCATTTTTAGCAACCTCTTCAAAGTTTTCAGATAATCATATAGGTCTTCAATGACTGTTGTTCCCTCCCCTAAAATACAGTCACCAGAAAATATAGCATTTTCTTCTTCTAGATGTAAAACCATATGATCATCGGTGTGTCCAGGAGTATGTAAAACTCTGTTTAAAGAACAACAAAAAGGTTCAAGTTTCCATACAGCATATATGCTTCATTTCCAAAAGTTAAAATAATGACAAAATCATATGCTTACAAAGTAGACCACAAGAACCAGAAGAAAAACTGACCAAAAAAGGCTGAAATGTTGATGTAAGCAAGGTATCTCTTTGTCTAACCCCAGGCTATTTTCTTATACCACGTAGAGAGCACTGATCATCACCTCTAACACGCTTTTACATTTATAACACATCATAATAAAAGTGCATTAAGGGAGCTGGCTGGTCACGTAGAATTTGTGTTATAGAGAGCTTTAATGAAGAAAAACTGTCATTATTTCCAGATTAAAATGTGTGAAGTTCTTGACATACACCTTGCACTTAGCAGAATAAGGTAAGGATGATGTTACCAATTCTTTTAGAAATTAACTATAAACTTTTGGGCCCAACCTAGATAAAGTTCTGTCTTCTGATTTTTTCCTGAAAGCCCCAGGACACATTGGAGCCGGGCTGTCAAATACATCTTTTAGCTGTTCTACGTGCAGGTCTTTAAATACCTGAATAGTAAGAATTTAGGACTCCACAGCATGAATGAGAGCTGCATTAGAATGCAGCAGAGGGTGAATGGACAGTTTATATGTATATAGTAACCTGAGCTGCTAAGGAACTGCACTGTAGTGTCCTTTCACTACTATTTTTGAAAGGTAGAAAGTCTTATGATGGTGCTGATTCACACTGAAAGTAGACAGCTCTTTCTTGTTAATGGCAGATGTGTCTAAGCAGTGATCAGGAACTGATAGAACTGGTGTCAAGCATGTTGTACAGGCCAAGGCTGAACAACACTCAGCTACACCAGTGTAGGGCTAGGAGGCCAGAAGCACAGCAACATCTGATGCAGTAACTTCCAGCTCTCACTGAACGAGTTTGGCAGAAAGCAGGTGAACCGTTGCCCTGAGGAGCCAACACAAAGATTTAGTTGATGGGTTGCATCTTGCCTTTGTAGAAAGTGTGATCCTCCAGTTCCTGATGAAACCCTACCAGGAGGTTTAAGCACTAACATGAAAAAATAAAGGAAAAGTAACCAAACAATTGTCCAACACACTTAGAAAACTTGAAGGTTGCTTACTAAAATATAATACACATATACGGCTATTTTGGAACCAGTGGTGGATCTAAGAGCATCCCTAAAGTGCTTACTGAATTAATCAGATTAGATTATCAGCTTTTAACCAGGCATAAAGTTTGGCTGCATTACTCCAAACTTCAAAATGTGCCACCCCTGTCTTACTTGGATTCAAATTTAGTAAACTGTTCTCCACTCTAAATTGATTTTGTCTAAAAATGGGCCACTCAGGGTAGTGATAGATTTTTCAATACTCAATATAATACTCTTCATGTGTTTGATTTTTTTTTTTTACACTAACAAACCAAAATGCAGTAGGTCAAATATATCCTTCATTTTTTCCTTTTTTTCTGCCAATCAGACAGCTAGTATTCTTCACTAGACTGAGGAAAACAAGCAAAATTTGTCCTTAGAAAAGTAATGCCTTGTTAATGAAAGTAGTCCGGAAACAGAATGGTCAGATCTTATGGGCAATATGATTCCTATGAAGAATCCCTCCTGGGCAGGGTTTATAATTTAACACTTTAAGTATTAAATGTTTTAGTGTCTCTTTGGGAAGTATTTTTAAAGTAAAAAGAAAATAATAATAAATAATCCATCCAGACTACCATAAACTTCTCCAAAAGTATAAATTTGTCACTGCTTGACTCAGATCGACAACAATGCTCTCGATCGCCCCCCTTTCCTGCCCAAGTAGGGAAGGAGAGAGAGAAAAAGAGGGAGACTACTGGATTGAATACTAAACTACACAGCTTTAAACACTAATGATAAAAGAAAATATATACAATTATATACAAATATGTTCAGATATGTGCAAAAGCCTCTTGCATCCTCCCACCCCCAGCAACTCCCACAGCATCTCCTGAGCTGTGAACAGTACGGAAAAAAGTATGTAAAAATTGCTTTTCCTGGAGGAAATGTTTTTCAAGAGAAAGGTTCTTAATTTCTCTGCTGAGGCCAAAAACCAAATTACTGATAATCCTCATTCATAAAAACAACTTCTTCATACAAACATACCCTGCTGGATAACGACAGGGATTCTACATGCTTAAGTGTTCAAAAGATCAAACGTTTAGACTGCCAGTCCTTGGAGTTAGGATCCATATATGTGTCAGAATCCTGCAGAAAAAAGCAATCCACCGCACTTGCAGAAATTGGTGTTTACCTGAGTGTGGCTCCCTCTGTCTGTATCACATCTCCATCGTTAAGATAAAAATATTTATGTCCTCCTTCTATTGTTTCCTCACGGAGAGGGACACGAGGCAGCTTAGAGATGCGATATTCAGAGTCTGATTAAAGAATGCAAATAGAACTATGTTTTGAATTTGTCACTAACAACGCTGATTCCATAGAAAGGCTACTTTTGAACAAGTACTATTAATAACTACACTGTAGGAATACATAATTAGAAACAAGAAAATTGTACTGCAACTTCATGTTTATAAAGCAACCTTATTCCAGAGCTGCAAACAGTGAATAGTGAAAGCCACTGAATCTGAATACTATACTCTGTACCAGAGCGATTTTGAAGATGAAAAAGCACAAATTAAATTAATAAAGAAATGTCAATAATTATGATATTTTACAAATATTCCTTCTTGACTCATCAAATGCCAAAATCCCCAAGTTTCTACAAAAGCACTAAGATTTCTGTGCTAACATTATGCATTACAATTCACGGAAGCACTATTCAACATTTGCCTAACACTGGATGGAGGCTTTTTCACCTGCAACTTCCATCAGTGTCTGTCATTCTGACCCGTGCATCAACTGCAAATGCCTTGGCTGGAATAAGTATGGATAGCAATCCAGAAAGGTATTTATATCTCTTACTAATCTAGAACGTACAAACATGCTCATGGGTTGACAAGACCAAAATCCTCACAAAGACACCCATGTTGTTTTCAGTGGTGCCCAATTTACCTGCCAGACTACCCTACCCTCTTCCCCCTCATGATCTGACGCCTATGAATTTGTGAAATTATAGGCTGCTGTAAGGAATCTCAAAGTAATGCGTGTTTCTTTTTTTTCAGATATTGAGTTGTTTATTGTTTTTACACAAACAAAAGTAAGGATTAGTTTGTCATTACTGTTGATGTAGAAAGGAACAATTTTTTCTCCTTTCTCTTGATACCCTGTAGACTGGTGCTGGCAATCTAGGTTCTCACGATTCACACATAAGAAAAATTCACTACAAAGTTATGCACAGGGATTGAAGAAAAACTGTAGTATTCGGATTATTCCTTGCTCTTATTCAACACACTGCAATACTATAATGAAATTACATTTATATGGAGATTCCAGAAGAATGATAATCCATCTGATTTGCACAGAAGCACTCAGTAAAAGTTTTTTCTTGACATGTATCTGACATTTGCAACAATATCCAAAATCTCTGGCCTACCATTAGGGATGTTCTTGCAGATATCAGGTATCCCGCCAGTGTGATCATGATGCCAGTGGGTCACTACAATTTCTTGAATTGCGATGTTGAACTCTGACAGTGCCTGCTTCAAACAGCCAATGTATTCAGGAATAGATGGCTCCCCCGTGTCAATAAGGACTCTTCTACACGTGCACCAGTTCAAACAAACAAACAAACAAACCAACCCAAAACAAACAATGAGGGAATTTAACGTGCTCACACGACAGCTCCATTTCAAAGAAGAACCCCGCGTTGCACATTGCACGGAAACGTTGCAATAATGGATGCCTCCATACCCTGGACGCCTTTCTTCCCTCCCAGACACTTCATTTCCGTGGCATAACAAACGTATTCCACACACGTGCATGCCCCGGGCAGGTGGCAGGACTCACCGTTCAGTCCCACCTGAGCCTGAGGCCAGAGCAGGGG